TTGCTGTTGTTGGTGGTGGATTGATGGGATCTGGGATAGCTACAGCATTGGTTCTTAGCAACTATCCTGTGATTCTCAAAGAAGTGAACGATAAATTTTTGAAGGCTGGTCTTGACAGAGTCAGAGGTAAGCCTGGAATTTACTACTAATGATTGCATTTTTCGAATATTCTTATTCTATTCATTTATGGCTTGCCATGTTAACATGTTAGCTAATCTACAAAGCCGACTCCGTAAGGGCAAAATGACTCCAGAAAAATTTGAAAAAACTATTTCCCTACTCGATGGTGCCCTTGACTATGAAAGTTTCAAAGATGTTGATATGGTGATTGAGGTAATTCACGTCTTTCTTCTACACACACGAAAAGTAGCAATCATTAATATCAATTTGGTTGTGTTTGTAACAGGCTGTTATAGAAAACGTGTCTCTGAAGCAACAGATTTTTGTTGATCTAGAGAAATATTGCCCACCACATTGCATACTTGCTACCAATACGTCCACAATAGATTTGGAGCTGATTGGAGAGAGAACAAAATCTCATGATAGAATTGTCGGAGCTCATTTCTTTAGGTTTGTGAATTCGTATTTATCCTCATTCCTCTATTTTTCTTGGCTTAGCCACTTGGGCATTGAGTTTGTGCTTCTGATTGCAGTCCTGCACATGTCATGCCACTATTGGAAGTTGTTCGTACAAAAAGGACTGCTCCACAAGTAATTGTTGATTTGATAGATGTTGGAAAAAAGATAAAGAAAGCACCAGTTGTCGTTGGCAATTGCACTGGTTTTGCTGTCAATAGGATGTTTTTCCCATACACTCAAGCTGCACTGTTACTTGTAGAACATGGAGTAGACCCATATCAGATGGACAGGGCAGTTTTTAAGTTTGGAATGCCGATGGGCCCCTTCAGGTTTATAATACATAAAAGAAATTTGTGGTTCCCCTCCATGCTTTTTCTTTTTCGACCTTCCAACTTACTTTGGTTATTTTCCTTCAGATTGATTGATCTTGTTGGTTTTGGCGTGGCTATAGCAACCGGTGGTCAGTTTGTTCAGAATTTTCCTGATAGAACCTTCAAATCTATGATAATTCCTCTTATGCAAGAAGATAAGAGAGCGGGTAGAGTTTCACCCTCAAACTAGGGCGCTTGCATGTCTTGTTTTTCTGTCTTTCCACTTGGAAATATAGCTAGGGTGCCAAAGAACCCTACAATCACCGTTCAGTCTACTCGATAGTATTCGAGAGGGCGAATGACTCGGCAAAACCTTTCTCATGAAAATTGTCAGAGTTTTTTCCCCTTTCCAGTGTAAACGTTAATGATTAACTAAGACTCTTTCAGAGTCATGATGTTGTTCATTTTATCCATTCCCTGTAGACATTGACATTTGTTTGTTTAAAGAATAACCGTCATTGTGCATTTCAGGTGAAACAACCCAGAAAGGTTTCTATATCTACGATAAGAACCGCAAGGCTAAGCCAGATCCGGAGTTAAAGAAATATATTGAAAAGGCTAGGACCATGTCTGGCATTTCAATCGACCATAAGGTCTTGCTCTCTTTCTGCTCACGTGTTTCAATATTTCTGATCTGGTGTTCCTACCTTGAACTTGCATGAGTTGAGGATTAAATACCAAAATCATACAGCCATTAGTAAGATCTATGTAAGGATCTAATGTGATCGATGTGGATGCAGCTCACGAAGTTAACAGAAAAGGACATCATCGAGATGGTATTCTTCCCTGTGGTGAATGAAGCATGCCGAGTTCTCGCTGAAGGTATAGCAGTCAAAGCTGCAGACCTGGATATTGCTGGCGTAATGGGCATGGGTTTTCCACCTTACAGGTTGGTGAGAGTTCTGTAAATTCGTTCATTTGGTAGACTCAGTTAAATTATTGCTGTACAAAGTTTTGTTCTGGATGATCAGGGGAGGAGTGATGTTCTGGGCTGATTCTCTTGGATCAAAATACATCTATTCAAGATTGGAGGAGTGGTCAAAACATTATGGTGGATTCTTCAAGCCTTGTGCTTACTTGGCTGAAAGAGCTGCTCAGGGTGCAACGCTGGTGAGTAAACCACAACTCCAATCAGTAGAATTAAAATAATAAAAATTAAAAAAAAAAGTTACGAAAATGAAAATAAAATGTTAAAGAATAGAAATAAGTGAAAGAAGGTGAATAGCGAGAGTGTGTAGAAAGAGTGAGAAATGACTTGTTTAGAGTTGCCAGTGAGTGTGTAAAGAGAAACTAGTGATGGGAAGTGGGTGCAATGAGAAGGTAGTAAAAGAAAATGGGTTAAGAGAGAGATCAGTGAGAAATTACATGTGGAGAGCAGTAAAAGTGTGTAAAGAGAAACATTAGTGATAGAAAGCGAGGGTGTAAGAAGTGAAACTAGTGATAGAAAGTGGGTGCAGTGAGAAGGTAGTAAAAGAAAATGTGTTTAAGAGTGAGGTTAGTGAAAAATTACATGTGGAGAGCAGTGAGAGTGTGTAAAGAGAAACAAGTGAGATAGAAAGTGAGAGTGTGTAAAGAGAAACAAGTGAGATAGAAAGTGAGAGTGTGTAAAGAGAAACAAGTGAGATAGAAAGTGAGGGTGTGAAAAGAGAAACTAGTGATGGAAAGTGGGTGCAATGAGAAAGTAGGTAAAGAAAAATGTGTTCAGATAGTCAGTGAGAGCATGTAAAGAGAAGTTGGTGAGTGCAATTTTTGATGCTTTCAAAAGTGCTTCTAGACCAAGCCCTTTCTTCCTTGTCCATGTGGCACATGTAGCACATGTTAGAAGGCTTTATATTACCTAATTTTAATTGCACTTCTCACCCTCCTATAGAAGTCAACTCGAACATTTTTATGGTTATAAAATACTATTTTAGTTCAGTACTTCAGAATTTATTCGCATTAGCCTACGTACTCTTAAATATTTAAATTTAATCCTCGTAGTTTTAATAAATCTTAAATTTACTCCATATTACTCATTTTTTTTCTTTGAGAATATCCTAGTACTGGTTTATGGTTAGCTTTTTTCTTACAAATAAAACATTACTTCTCTATTAGTCATCAATCTATAAGTTTTTGAAAGACATGATGTCTTTTATCTTGAATGAAAAAAAATTATGATAATTATTATTTTACCAAATTTCTAACTTCGAGGACTAATTTTATGATTACTTGAAATGAGTCTCGAAGTATAGATACCAAAATTGATGATATTTGATACCTAATAAAACGTTGTCACTTTTGCAGAGTTCACCTTCTGGTGTCGCAAAATCTCGATTGTAGATGAAAAGATCTTCTAAAGGTACTGTTGTAGTTCGTTTTAATAAAGCCATAAAAGATGACCAATGGGTTATTATAGACTGTTTCATAATTAATGAGTCTAATTAGAATTACAAACAAGTTTAAATCGAAATTGTACCAATAATAAATTTTTTTATATTCCTTATCGTTATCCTTTTATTCTACCTGCATTCTTTGGATTCTTTTTTATACATCTTATATTTGTCCTCATGTCATAGTGCGCACTGCCCCAACCTTTTTTATTCTTTTTTCTGTATTTTTTTTCTCATTTTTTTGGTTTCCTTTCTAGGGGCAGAAAGTTGTGGATCTCTGTTATTTAGGCTTTTGAATTTGAATTTCGAGGGCCCTTTTCCAGATGGTTTTGTTTTTTTTTTTTTAAAAAAATCAACCTATCTCAACGGCCCAGAATCTGTTTGAAGAAAATATATACATATGCATACATACATAATATATATACATATACATAGATATATATTAACCAGTTGCAAGTTTTGTTTATCGAACATCTCTGTAATTTTCTCATTTTCCCAACAATTTCCAAATCTTATGGACGTCGAATTACAAAATATTTCAAAATTGATCGTAAGACAATTGAAAGACTGTTTAGGAATGACGAAGTTGTGTACAAAGATTACAAGTCTTGCTAAGTGGTAGTCAACCATGAGTCAACCCTTTGCAATACATATTAAGCTGAATCAACATTTTGCTAGTATACACAAGGACAGTGGGAAGCCTAAATTCAACTACGAAAGGAAGTAGAGCGTAAAAACGAACACATTAATATTTCTATAAAAGAAATATTTAAATTACCAAATAATCATTTTCTCCTTGTTTAAAAATTTCAAATTTGTGTGAATATTGAGTTTCCCTTGATTACTATTTGGGTTATATTTTCCAAGTAGCCAAAATAAAATAAAATAAAATAATCCACAATCAAGTCCGTTGGGATAATAAGGCAACGTCGCTGTCGAACTGAATGGATAAAGTATAGACTCGAAAATCAGTGAATCAGTGAATCCATTTGATTATATCGAGATGGATTTTATTAAATTATTTATTATAAATCATAATTAATAAATAAAAATAGGAAAAATATATATTGTAAAAAAAAAAAAAAAAAAAAAAAAGGAATTTCCCAATTCTCAAGCTCACAGCAGCTTTGTTTACTTTGTTTTCTTTCACTCAACTCAGTCATGTCTCCATCTTTCATCTCCTCAGATTCTGCTACCCTTTTCATCATTTTCTTTCCAGTCCCTCCACTACTTTTATTTTTCCATGCAACCCCCCAAATCCCCTTAAATTTCCCTCTCTGCCCCCTCTGCAGTAAACTTGCTAGACTCACAGCTAGGAGCTATCCTACACTCTCTGTAAAAACCAGCTGTCTATCCCCGTCTGTCACCATTTCCTTCCCTCACAGCCATCCTATATTAATTAGCTCCCCTTTAAATTTTTAGTTAATCAGTTAATTTCTTCAGCCAAAAAACAATCTTGTAGTTTGACACAACTTGAAAAATTATTTGTGGGTTATTATTCATAAAATTTTATAAAAATCATAAAAAAAGTTAACTATTAAATTATAAGTTCGATAAATAATTTGTTTTCTTGGTCAAGTGTCTACTGCTATTTGACTTCACAGTTAAAAACTAGCTGTCTATTCCACTATCATGCACGTGCCAGCATGTGATTACTTGGGGAAATTAAACCTTTTTTTTTAATACTATTAAACTAATAAAAGAAAAATAAACAGAAAATATTACATTCAGCATTCACAAGTTACAAATTTGATACTACACAGACAGCAAATTCCATTCATTCAGTTTATTTAATCCAAAATATCTTTCTCTTCATCTGTACGTACTGTGAGAAAGTAGGAATCCTCTGCGGTTATACGCACCTGGTTTATGGTGAGCCCTCATGATTCCCCGTTGATCTTGAGCCACTCATCCAACTGCATTTGAAAAAGTGAATGATTATTCATGCCACCGGAAAACGAAAATACGGTTTGAAGTTTGTTATGATTCTAACTGATTAGAAATGAAAAAAAAGTTGGCCGGAAAATATGGAAGCGTGATTTGATTGACTGTCAAACTGACCGGAAAATGAGTAACGAAAACTGGTAGGATTTGATTCTTTGTCTTAGCTTCTGACGGCCAACAGTGAAGGAATCGCGTTCAAATTCGGCGTGGGATTGTTCTCTGAAGCTTGTCTGATTATGGACCGTTTTCGATCTTTTGAATTTGACGGCTTGAATGCTCTCATCGGACTAGCAAATGCCCATGTCAAGGTCCTGCTCCACCCACTGCTTATTAGCGGCCCTGCTGCCGCTGCTGCCGGAGTTGGTTTTCTGTTGAGGTCCTCGGCGGAGGATGAAGCTACGTACGATGAGGAAGATGAAGAGGAAGAAGATGAAGTCATCATGAATCCACTGAATAAACCGCCGCATTTTACTCTCTCTTTGATACAGTGGTGTTCGACGCCGGCGCTGTTGCGGTGGCTGGTGTTTCCACCGGTAGCGACTTTCGACGATTTGCTTTCTCTCTGAGACTCGACTCGCCGGAGAGTACAATCGCCGAAACCAGTAGAGATTCTCTCGAAGAAGTCGCCGGAAAAGCTCCGGCTACCGCAGCCGACTGACCTGGATCTAGAAACCTTCCGTTCAAACGACGTCGTATGGCTGTTAGGGCTCTCGTCTTCCTCTAAAATGGTGCTGTTTGCCCCCAAATTACCACCAGTGCCCTTATTGTTATTACTCTCCATTTTCCTCGGCGCATGAGATTTGGACGACGACGGCGCGTGGTAATGGAGAAATGACCAAAAACCCCCTCTCTTCCTGGAGCTAAAATCGCCGCGGTCGTCGCCGTCAACCGGAAACTGCCCCCGCCTCTGCGCCGTCGTCGACTTACTCCTCTTAAAAACGACGTCGTTATTTGGATTATACTCCGCCCCAACAGTAACAACTTTCTTCTTCTTTTTAGATAACAAAAAAGGGATTCGGGTCCGCCGCGTATCATGATAATGACAAACAACGCCATTTACGTTGAAATTGACAGTTTTCGAAGCAGAGCCTCCGATCGAAATCGCATTTGACGACGAGGACGTAGACAACGGAGCGCCGCCGCTTCCGGCATGAACATTACTCTCAGATCCAATCGAAGGGGAAGACGGAGAAGAAGACGAACCGCGAATCGGAAGAGGAAGAGAAGACGACACCAGCTTACCGAGCTTCTCCTGAAGACAGATGGCGCAGATTCCACCGGGATTGCTCCGGTAAGGATGGTCGCTGCATTGCATCCCGTCGGACATGTCATCATCTAAGCCAACGCCGACCTTGCCGTCGGCGGCAGGAAGTGGAGCCGTGATGGCGTCGATCTTCATCATAGTTAATCGAATGAAATTGGCCGTAAAAAACGTCTCAGAAGTGAAGTTGCAGAGAGAAAGAAATGTTGATGAAGAAGAAGAAGAGAGAAATGCATTGAAGTAAGGGAGAAATGTGGGGATGAGACTGCAAACGAATTGACCAGAGATTTCACAGTAGCACGTGGAATACTGACTCTTCTCCATGCTTTTTTTTTCTTTTTCTTTTTCTTTTTTATTTCCATTTTCGATGCGATAATAATTGTATATATATATATATATATATATATATAATTTTCTTTTCTATTTTCGATATGATAATAACTAATAAATATGGATGCGCTTTTTTTGTTTCTTTTTTTTTCCTATGTTTTTTTAACCAATCACATTTAAAACCTTCATTTTTATTAATTTTGATCAAATTTACCGTAAAAATCATTTTTTAATTAAAAATATAGAGACTAAATTTAATAAAATTTCCAAATAAATTAATAAAATAAAAATGGAATTAAAATTTTATAAAATTTGTTAAAGGAGAAATGGTGCAAAGCCAAAAAAGGAGCTAATTAAAAATATTTGCACACTTCTGCTACGTTTCTCCCAAAGCCCCAGCAGCCAATTTCCCCTTTTCATTTTTTTAATTCCTACGTGCCCATTTTCTATTGCTTATCTTTTAGATCCAATTTATTAATGGGACCACGCCCCCAAACTTCTCCACGTGTCACCTGTTTTTGTTTTTATTAGTAATGTGAATCAAATAATTTGTTTTTTTTTCCCCTTTATTTCGTGCCGTTGGCTTATATTAATATTTCCACCTTTTCCCTCTCTATTTTTTGTTTATATGTTTGTTTTTTTCCCAACATTTATTTGTTTGGCGTTATTTTTGTTATTAACAATTTGCATTATTTTCGAGTATTTATTATGCATAAATTTATTAAATCAAGTTTACACTCCTACTAAACATATGAATGGTTGAGAATTATTGGAGGTGAGTCCACATTGGTTAATTTAGTGGAAGATCGTGGATTGGATCTCCATAAAATATTTTGGGAAGCCCAAAACAAAGTTCATACCATTATGGAGAGTCGAGATTCCTAACTAAATTTTTTTAACACGTGACAATTATTTATAGTGCCACTCACTGAATTAGTAATCTAATGTAATAAACTCATATCTCATATATAAATATACTCGTCTATCTCACAACATACACATGCATGTTGAGTAGCTTGCTTAAGTCACATGGTTTCAGAACGATAGAAAGCTAACATCATGTCTCTCCCTATGTGGAACTTATGACGTAAATGGTTTAGCATAGACATGAGAAAGTCGTATGCTCTAGGGAACCGATGAATGGATGTTTGGTATGTCCCAGTAAAATCGCTCGACATATGATTCAAGTATGAGTGGATGGTAGGATAAAACTATATAATTGGATGGTTTTTCAACTTAAAAATATCTCTATGTTTTTAGGAGTGTAGTTGTGACCCATGTCATGTAGATGGGCAATTAATTATAAAAATGGAATGGAAAAAAACAATCATTTTTCAACCCTCACGCTTTCCCAATTAATACGAAGGAAGCAAGATAAATAATATAAAAGGTAATTATTATTTTTTCTGGGAGTTTGATTCCTGATGCTCTCATTTCCACCGTTGGATCACCATGGCATCGAGATTTTCATCAGATTCCTTTAATCCACCCCCTTCTTCTGTGGAGCGTGGTGCCCCTCCACTTCTAAGCTTTGGTTGGATTATTTATTTATTTATTTATTTATTTTAATCATTTCATTTCTTTTTATAAGGTAAAATGTACCTACCATACCCTAATCTTAATTATTATCATTTAAATTAACTAATTACTTTATACATTTATAAATTATTTTAAATATTATATTATTTTTTGTTTTGGTAGAGTATTACTGATTTTAATTTTTAATAGGAAATATATTGATAAATGAAAATTGTTTATTTTAATATATTTATTTCGGACGCATGAGATGGGACGATAATTGGGCCGCCAATGAATCTTAACAGGCCCAAAGTAGAAAAGAGAAGAAGCTTAAAAGCCGGCCCATATACTGTGGGTGCGGCCTGACATATTTTAATGGGCTTAGTTTAATCGTGTCATTGATGCTTCAGCTCTGACGGAGTGCAAATCGTAATCGTTGCTCTGTCAGAGAAATGATCGTTATCTGGCCAGAGACGGTAAAGAAGATACCAGGCCGCGCCTTGGAGATGGCGCCAGGAGAGCTACAGTCATTGAAGAAGCTTAGCTTCAAAATCTCTCAAAAGAGCCCTGGACTTCTTCTCTCCGGTTCACGGCCACGTCGCTCCTCCTGATCATGAGAGGTATGCTTGCTTATGGTTTTAGTTCGCTAATCAGATCTGCAGTTTTGTAAGTTTACTGTTAAAGTTCTTTGTGCGTGCTTGTGTTTTTTTCTTCGTTTGATTTTTGCTTCGTCAAATGTTTATTTGGTCATCTCATTTCTGAATGCAGTAAAAAAATTCGGATCAGTTGTTGCTTACATGACTTGAGCCATTGAATACGATCTGCGTTTGGAATATTTTGCTGTTCTCTTAATCTAAAATGGAAATGATCTTTTATTATTTGTATATCGAATTTCGGATCAGTCATTCCGAGTAGGTTGTACTTGTTGACTAAACTCTATTCCTTAATCATATACTGGTTACACTCCTCCTCTAGGTGCATAACCCCTCTGATCATAGTGTAGGGTCTAGGTTGTACTTAGCTTGTTTTTTTTACATTTTTCCAAAGTTTAACCTATGACTGGCTCCGAGTAAGTCTAGTGTGTATCAGGTAACCTGTGCACTATATGCAGACTAGCACTATGACGGGCTCGCGAGTGTATGAGGTAACCTGTGCACTATACACAGATTAGCACTATGACATACCCTCTACGACTTCTAGGCGTCTTCTATGAGTGACAACTAACCACAATGTACCTATGAGGTAACCTGTGCACTATACACAGATTAGCACTATGACATACCCTCTACGACTCCTAGGCGTCTTCTATGAGTGACAACTAACCACAATGTACCTATGAGGTAACCTGTGCACTATACACAGATTAGCACTATGACATACCCTCTACGACTCCTAGGCGTCTTCTATGAGTGACAACTAACCACAATGTACCTATGAGGTAACCTGTGCACTATACACAGATTAGCACTATGACATACCCTCTACGACTTCTAGGCGTCTTCTATGAGTGACAACTAACCACAATGTACCTATGAGGTAACCTGTGCACTATACACAGAAGGCGTCTTCTATGAGTGACAACTAACCACAATGTACCTATGAGGTAACCTGTGCACTATACACAGATTAGCACTATGACATACCCTCTACGACTCCTATGTACCTATGAGGTAACCTGTGCACTATACACAGATTAGCACTATGACATACCCTCTACGACTCCTTGGCGTCTTCTATGAGTGACAACTAACCACAATGTACCAAGTAGACCCTAATCATACTAGGAAAGTTAACAAGTTGAGGTTGCGCCCCAATTTTCCCTACTTGGTTGCTTAAGATGCTTTATCTATCGTTGTTTATTTTAGTTGTTGTGGACATTGGTCTTTATTACATTTATTACATTGAATCATGATATAGTTTATTTTAAAACAAACATAGGAAATTCCCTCTTTTCTTTGTTTTGAGGATGAGTTTTAATTGAAAGGAAAATTTTCACTTAGTTGATCTGTGTTTTTTGGATCAATGTTCCTGCATGTTTTTTTCTGCCATTTATGTACTGTACTATCATGAGTTTGAAAAAATGTCAGGTTTTTTCTTACCACCGAAAATCTGTGAAGTTTATTCGTTAATGATTATGTAAATAATTTATAGTTGTGTGCTAATTGTTCATCTGAATCACATTAGTTTTATTTTACTTTTATAGATGGAAATAATAGTACATAGTAGATATGAAACTGTTTATTATGGCTCTAGTTCTATGAAGCCACCATTGTCCCAAAATCTAAATTTAGAAAAAAGAAGCTTATTAAATTAACCATATGAGATCATTTTAATTTATAGAATAATAATAATAAGAGGTGGTACGAATATTGTTACTTATTTAGTCAAACAACATATAGAGCACCATGTGACAAGATGATAATGATGGATGAGCTGCCCTTTAAATTCTTAATTCGTAGAATGGAGATTTCAAATTAATTTGTAGTAATGCATGTCCTAAATTCGACATTCACTTAATAGTAACCATTATTTAGAGATATGTTTCAATTTTATCGAGAAGAAAAAAAAAAGTTAGATTTTTTTAGTTAGTTATTTCGAGAGGGTTTATTTTACCACTCATACTTGAACTTGTTGCAAAACATTAATTACATGTTAATCCGTGCATACTTTATGATTCATAATAGAATTTGCATAAAAGAATTCTTTAACTTTTTGTTAAGTTGATAATTATAAGAGAGAGCAAGATTATTGAGAGTTATTTATTAGAATGGAATATCGATAAAATATTGTTTATCACAATAATGCAAGTTTCAATGATATAGTTATTTCGTATATTATGAGAAGGCTTATTAGAATGAGGTGTTGTACTACAACAATAAAAAATTGAATGTGAAGCACTTATTTGTTTGAATGTGGCAATCTTGTTTATTATGTTTTGTGATGTCACCATACAAATGAGTGACATTGAAGACCTTCTAAAACTTTACAAAGATGGGTGGCTCTTTTATTTTGTTTACCTGATCTTTATAATCTAATTTCTTTTTTCTCAAATATTTTAGAGATTTTTTTAAATTGTGAGATGATAAAACATTAAATAGGTGGAATTCTATCTAGTTGCCACATTTAAACAAGTGCCTTATATTTCATTTTTTCTTGTTCAAGACAATCTTTAAATTATGTCGATCTATTATCTTAATAAATGATGTAACATGCATTGGGAATACTAGAAATGAAGTCATGCATTTCTTTAAATCACTCATTCACACTCGAATTAATTATGTGGGTACAACAACTCAGGTGTAATATTTCTCAATTTCTAAGTCTTCGAAAATAGCTGTCATTAGTACTTGAATTATCAATGGTGATAGAAAAAACTTTATTTATCCCATTCCCATAAACAACTCTTAGTAATCTTATCCTTGGTCTCTCCATTAATGGTTGAGACAAAAGTTGAGAATTCTTTTATACAAATTTCTTTTTGAATCAATAAAATGTGTAGTGATGACTATCATATAGTTAATGTTTTGTAACGAAGTTCATATATTAGTGGTAAGACAAACCCTCTCGAAAATACAGACTAAAAAAATCTTTTAAATTCTTATTTTTACTCTAGATAAAGATGAAATATATCTCTATTGGTTATTCTCGAGTAATACTACAAAACAATCTGAAACTCTCATCTCTACAAATTTAAATGATAATTTGGCCATAATTATCATATTGACACATGTTGCTCTACCTTTTTTACTAAAGAAGTGAGTAGTAATATTGTACAACCATTTTTATTTGAATGTTGAAAACTTAGAGTGATTTGTCCTTTATTTTCTACTATGGTAACTTTTTACACTGATTTTTTAACTATTTCCATAAAGTGCTAGTTCTACGAGAATTAGTATCACAAGCATACTTCTTGCACTTGTACCTTTTATTATTGTTCTTTAATCTTGTAAAATGATCTCACACCGTTGATTTACCCGACTTTTGTATGCCAGGTATCCAATTTCACCCGTTAGTTTGAATTGTAATTTTGTGGTATTATTCAAGTCAGGTTCTCTCGTGGCGAGCATAACAAAGTTTTGCATCGGCTTCAGCTGACAACATCAAGAAATTTAACCTCCCCAAAGGGGAGTTTGTGCACAATATGCTGTGAGTTTCTATAGAAAACTCGCAACATGTATAATTTGAAAAATTATTTGCAATTTATTATTGTTAATATATTTCTCATAATGTCCCGAGTAGCCTTATTTACTTCAAAAGCTAGGTCTATATGTGAGAATATATTAAAGGAGAACAAGAAACTTTTGAAGTGAGTCGGTGTGATCCCATGTTGGTTGGAGAGGGAACATAATATTTCTTATAAAGAGTGTGTAAACCTCTCCTTAGTATATATGTTTTAAAACTGTGAGGCTGATAGTGATACGTAACAAGCTAAACTAGACAATATCTACTAGTGGTGGGCTTCAACTATGATAGTAGGTATGTCCCTCACTGTTTTGAGTGGGTCTTCGGTCGAGCTGCCTTAGCCAGAATTCTTGGAGAGCTTGTTTCCCTCTCTTTTCTCAGTTTGTCAGGTGCCATCTTCGGGAAGGTTCAAAAGTTTGTTTTTGGTAAGTTGTTAGGTTTAATGCATCCTTGTAGGCGTCGCTCACTACTAGGCTGTTTTGTGTGATGATATTATTTTGGTGATCTGTGCAAAACATACGAGAGAAATAACAAATTTGTTTTCCTGAACTTCTATTAAAAACAATTTAGAAGGATTGAGAGATCTTCTGAGTTAGTTAGGTTTAATTCTTCTTCTTGAACGTCCATTAATTGAATAAGGAGGTGGATTGTGAGTATGGAAACATCTCCCTAATAGACGCATCTTAGAAGCGGACCATCTCTGCGAGTAAATTTAAGTTGTTACAGATACACCCGTAAATAAAATCAACAATAAAAGAAAAACATCTCACTATGCACAACCATTATGAATGATCCAAAAGTCCCGCCCATAAAAAAGGCTCATTTCTTCTTCACACGCCAATTCCATGATGAGGCTTTGTAGCAAAGTTTGTTGTTAACTTCATTCCCCAAACCATTGAAATTGTTCTTCCAAAAGTCTCTTTCCATCTCTTCCAAATTTATCTTCCATTATACAATAATGTCTTTCACATCTTATTACATTTCTTTGTTAATCATCGTTTTGACGATGGCCACGTTGAGTTCATGTCAGTTCGATTTGATCCGAACTCTTCTTGGTCTCACCCACATCCAAGGAACGCTCTATTGTACTCTCAACGGCAACATGATCTACGGACTTTTGACCCCAACTTTTCCGAGTGAGTTAAAGTTGCAGTGCATTTTTATTATTATTATTATTATTATTATTATTATTTTTGTCTCTAAACATTTTGGAGTTTATTATGAGGTGTTGAAGATGCTGCGGTGGAAATGCACTGCGGAGCCGCCGGAACTGTGATTTCGTCCGTCAAATCCGATGCGACCGGCAGGTTCTCAATGCTTCTCGATGCGCCTCAACTGCTACTCTCCTTTTTACTGAACAATTGCAGTCTTGTCGTCACGACGCCGCTCGTCAATTGCAACGGCGCCCTGCCGTCGTTTGGCGCCCTCGCCTCGCCGCTGCAACTCATCCGAAATACGTTTCTCGGACTTTTCAATGTCACCAATATCATTCCGGTAGGGTTCCGATTCCTTCCGATTCTTTAATATTCAAGAAAAATGTTCACCATTGTTGATGTAGCTAACTAAATAAACGGAGTCCTTAACTTGGAGAGCTGTAATGATGTATGTGATGATCGAGTACTAAATCTCTACTTGGCTAATTTTTAGGTGGTTTGGTTTGTTTGTATATATATATATATGAGAGGTAAATGTGTATTATGAAAAAATAGCAATATAATCGAATCATATATTATAAAGAGTAAAAGACATAATTTAGTTCATTTTAATCAAAATTTATAGTGTGAACGTTCAATTACTCTCACGCGCGAGTGATCTCGATTTCGCCCCGTGGTTGTCGCCGCCCAAATGAGTCGTTTGTTAGTAATCATCATTCTTCATAATAGTATGATATTGTCACTAAATTAACCAATATCTGCTAATTGTGGATCTGGATTGTTATGAATGGTATAAGAGTCGGATACTGGATGATATGCCAGGTTTTTCGCTATTCTTCGAAGGGGTAGACACGAGGCGATGTGCCAGTAAGAACACTGGCCTCAAAGGGGGTGGATTTTGGGGGCGGTGGATTTTGGGGGCGGTCTCACATCGACTGGAGGAAGGAAAGAGTGTCGGCGAGGACGCTGGTCCCAAAGGAGTGGATTATGATGTCCTACATTGGTTAAAAGGAGAACAAACCACCATAAGTCTGTGGAAACCTTTTCTTAAGCAAATCCTGAGGACCATTTCTGTTAGGGCGGTTACATCATCTAAGAATTCTTAGACAATTTTTCATTTAATATTTTTAAATTAAATTTAGTTACAGATCAACAATTTTGAATTTAGATATATTTTTATTTTTATACAAATTTATTAGTTAAAAATCTAATTCTATAACAGAAAATGACATGTACACATTCACGTTTTACTAATCTCTCTGACTGTATCCGAAAAATCAACGATATTGTAGCTAACTAACTCCGAGCTCGGTGTTCATGGCGTTCTTAGGAATTCAATCTCCAAAGTGAGTCCGATACTCTTCTTTCTCCGATTTTGAAGACGTCAATCTTCTTTTATCAGGCACGACTCGCATTCTTCCTCCTTTTCCATTTTATCCTGTAAATGATGATGCTGTATATTCTAGCTTATCGTCATTAATATGGTTTTCTTTGATCCGGTTGCTAAATTTGATAGTGGAATTCTCTTTTTCTGTAATTTATGTCTTGTCTATCTCGAATTTGTGATCAGCATTTTTGGAGTTGTAACTGAAATTGGAGTGAAGGAAATACTGAGGCGTAGGTTCTTTTGGCAAGATTGTGGCGGTGAGATTATGGATGGGAACAAGGACGAAGGTTTAAGATGTATTCGCATAGCGGAAGAAGCAATTGCATCGGGCAATAAAGAGCGAGCATTAGGATTTATTAAAATTGTCCGGCGCCTTAATCGGAGTTTGTAAGTTGATGAGCTTTGACGGCTTGGGAAGAAATCGACTCAGGACTACCTTCTTCGTCCTCTGATGAGAAACGCGCGGGACAAGTTGAGAGTGTTTTTGGATCGGTGAAGCATGTGGATGGTTTGGGTGGGGAACGTAATTACGCTATAGAACACGTTCAATTGGTTAGGCAGATAAACGCAACCAATACAGAATTCTTGGTGTGGAGAAGACTAGTTCTGCTGAAGAGATTTAAGAGGGCTTATAAGAAATTGACTCCGAGATCCTACATGGGTTGGGGAGGAGAACGAAGCATTTTTTATAAGAGTGTGGAAACTTCTCCCTAGCAGAACGTTTTAAAAACATTGAGCTGAAACTCAAGGGAAAGTCCAAAGAGGACAATAGAGGTGGGCTTGGACTGTTACAAATGGTACTAGAGTCAGACACTGGGCAATGTGCCAGAAGGATGCTGGCCCCCGAAAAGGGTTAATTTGGGGAGTCCCATGTTTATTGGAGAAGGAAATGAGTGTAAGCGACGATGTTGGGTCCTGAAGAGGGATGGACACGAGGTGGTGTGCCAGCAAGGACGCTAGGTCCCGAAGGGGAGTGGCTAAGCTCCGAAGAGGGGTGGACAGAAGTGGTGTGCCACCAAATGATGTTGGGTCCCGAAGGGGAGTGGCTAAGCCCCAAAGGAAGGTGGACACGAGGCGGTGTGCCAACAAAGGACGTTGGACCCCGAAGGAGGGTGGATTTGGAGGGTCCTACATTAGATAAAGGAATGAGTACCAACAAGGATGCTGGACCTCGAACGGGGTGGATTGTGAGATCCCACATCGGTTGGGAAGGAGAAAGATGCAAGCGTGTGAAAACTTTTATCTTACATACGCGTTTTAAAAATCTTGAGGAAACCCCGAAAGGAAAAGCCCAAAGAGGACAATATCGACTAGCAGTGGGATTATGCTGTTACATTGTCCAAGTTCACCCCGGTAAGAACAAGGCTACTGGTTCAAATGAAGCACTAAAAAAATAATTGAGTGATATTACTTCGACCACACGGGGCTATGGTCGACCAATATGAGTACAGTCAACAGCATAATGCAAGGCATAGGAGAAGGAGAAAGGGTCATGATTTGACCTGATGAGATATTCAGGGTGTTCTTTGGCCCGGGAAATGTGTTTCAGACGAGTCGTGCTTATACTAATAGAATCGGAAGTGTTGTTGATTCTTCTTTTAATGTTATGTGAGATCCCATATTGACTGAAGAGAGGAATGAGTGCCATCGAGGACGCAAAGAGGGTAGATTGTATATCGGTTGGAGAGGGGAACGACGCATTCTTTATAAGATGTGGAAACCTCTCCCTAACAGATGCGTTTTAAAAACTTTTGACGGTGAGACCAAAAGAGAAAGCTCAAAGTGTGAGATTTCGGTTGGAGGGAGGAACAAAATACACCTTATAAGGATGTGGAAATTCAATGCACCCGTGGAACAAAAATCTTCCAACTCCTCATTGTGAAGATGATAATCTTGGGTCAGCATAAAGGTAAACAACTGTTCTTTCTTTCCTTAGAAAATAGAATTTATCTGTGTGTTACACTGCGTGAACCTACCATGTTTTAGTTAAATTCGATGAAAACAGCTGTTGAACCATGAAATGAACCTTAGGGGAAAATCCACAGCTAAGCTCTAATCTTCTGGATAAATCTATACCCTACTTCCTTGTACTGTGTAGAATTTAAGGTATTAGGCTGAGGGACACATTTTTAAGGAAGTAAGTCTAGATGGATGTAAGGACAAACAAAAAACAGTTCAAAAACTCCTTAATAAGAGACAATAATATATTTGAGCACGAATAAATTGAAAATTGCTCCAACTCGGATCCTATAAAAATAAATGTCTCAATACAATACATTATTCATACAAGACCATACCAGCAATCTTATCTAGATTTTCAGCAGAAACACCAAACAAACTATAGACCGAGTTGATTGATCTTACATTCGGGGTTTAGCACGACCAGCCGGAGCGCTCTGCAACCAAACCACATAACATAAGAACTTATCATTGAATAGAGAAATTTGTAAATTGGGATGGCTTGTTCATTGTGGACAAAGATGATGCCACTGTAGGCAATTTTCAGGAATGTTTCATATTTTATTTTAGTTTGCTGTTGGTTAATTGGTTGGTAGGCTTAACTTCCGTCATAAATGAGTAAAGTTCATTAGTCACTTGGAAGTAAACTTCTATTTCATATCCAATAAGTTTTTGCCTAGAAATTTAAAAACATGTGCATTTGAGATGGAGATCTGTAAAACTAGGCTGAAGCTTTCTTACCAGAGTTGCACCCTGAGCAGCTCTTTCAGCCAAGTATTCACAAGGCCTGAAGAATCCACCGTACTGTTTCGACCATTCCTCCAACCTCGAATAGATGTATTTCGATCCAAGAGAGTCCGCCCAGAACATTAGCCCTCCCCTGCTCAAGAAGAACATAGAATTTTATCCACTAGGTTTGGGGACTAAAGAGATATATACCAAAATGAGATGAAATTAACACACCTGTAAGATGGGAAACCCATTCCCATTACACCAGCAATGTCCAGGTCTGCAGCTTTGACTGCTATGCCTTCAGCTAGGACACGACAGGCTTCATTCACCACAGGGAAGAATATCATCTCCACAATGTCCTTGTTTGATAACTTCGCCAGCTACATTCACCAAAATCTTTGTCATTCCCGTAAGTTACTTAATACTTCACTCCAAAGGTATATATTTTAAGGATTTTGTCATTGGATGAACTCTAGTGATCATAAACAAGCAGTGTTTATGATACTATTCCAGTATTTCAATCGCCTGCCTCTACTAAGGCCACAAAAGAAATGCTAAATCAAGAGAAGCAAGTATAAGAGAGCAACCTTAGGGTCGACTGAAACACCGGAACTGTTTCTAGCCTTCTCGATATATTTCGTTAACTCAGGATTTGGCCCAGCTTTGCGGTTCTTGTCATAGACATAGAAACCTTTACGAGTGGATTCACCTAAGGTGTTTAATGTACACAAATGATTCTCGTAAGGAACATCTCGAAATAATAGCCGAGGAAAACATGTGAACATATCCCATATTTGTCAAGTAACAAACGATGGCAAAGCTACCTGCATTTTTATCCTCTTGCATTAGAGGAATTAACATAGATTTATAAGTTCTTTCTGGAAAAGCTTGAACAAACTGACTGGCAGTTGCTACCGCCACGCCAAAACCAACAAGATCACACAACCTGAAAAAACGATACACGAGCGAGTAGGGAAAAAACAGAATTAGTGTGATTTAAGAACAGTGCAGTTGATTAACAAACTTTATTGACTATTATAAACCTGAAGGGTCCCATTGGCATCCCAAACTTGGAAATTGCCCTGTCAATTCGATAGGGATCTACTCCACGTTCTGCAAGTAAAATTGCAGCCTGAGAATAGGGAAAAAACATTCTGTTGACAGCAAAACCCGTGCAATTCCCTACAACTACGGGTGTTTTCTTTATATTCTTTCCAACATCTAGCAGATCGACGATCACTTGTGCAGCCGTATGCTTGGTACGAACAATTTCTAGTAGCGGCATGACGTGAGCAGGACTGCATCAGAAACAAAAACTCAATGCCAAGCCAAAAAGATCGCCCCACGCGCAAGGCAGGAGGGATGGATGTGTGGATATACCTAAAAAAATGAGCTCCGATAATTCTATCACGAGACTTCGTTCTTTCCCCAATCAACTCCAAGTCTATTGTGGAAGTGTTGGTAGCAAGTATGCAATGAGGTGGGCAATATTTCTCAAGATCAGCAAAGATCTGTTGCTTCAAAGAAACCTTTTCAATAACAGCCTGTTTCAAGAACACCAAAATCAACATCAAATATTGTCCTTGACCTGGAGGAGAAAAGTAAAACCCAACACAAAGTACCTCTATCACCATATCCACATCTTTAAAACTTTCATAATCAAGACCTCCCTTAAGTAAAGACGTAGTCTTCTCGAATTTCTCTTTCGTCATATTCCCTTTTTTTACTCGGCTTTGTAGGTTTGCTGTAGGAGAACGCAACGAGTCGAGAGTTCATAGATTGAAATGTGAAGTACAGAAACATTAGTTTCCAGGCTTACCTCTGACTCTATCAAGACCAGCCTGCAAAAACTTATCATTCACTTCTTTAAGTACAACAGGATAGTTGCCAAGAATCAATGCTGTAGCTATTCCAGATCCCATTAGTCCTCCACCCACAATTCCAACTTTCTTGATTCGTCGTGGTACCAGACCGAGATCAGTCACTCCGGGTACCTGTCAATTACGAAGAAAGAACAAATGTTCATACTCATTAAAGTGCAACCATTTCTATAAAACCAATAGAACATTCATGTCTCTGAACTTTCTTGTCTAACCTTTGTTGTTGAACGCTGGGCAAAGAAGATATTAATTAAGCCTTTACAAGTATCTGAATGTAGAAGTCCCTGAAATTCTTCAGCCTCCTGCAGTAACCAGAACAAGATAGATATATATACAGAAGTGAAATGTCTCTGATTTAAAGGTCAAAAAGACTGAAATGGAGGAAGAGATAAGTAACCTTCCAAAGTCCAGCACGGGGGCCCGAGACGATGCCTGTTTCAATGACATCAATGCAGGCAAATGGGTGCTTAAGATTTGGGGACTGTTTCTTTGCCTGAGCTCTAGCAAACTTGAATATTTCCCTAGCCTTGGCTAGCGACGGTAACTTGTCTGTCCTGTGAAGACTGTGAACCCATGGCTTTCTCCGGTCTAGGATTTCAAGAGCCCATCTGCGTGCAGTGTTGATTAACTCGTCAGGAGGGACAATGGCATCCACAAGCCCCAAAGAATGAGCTTCTTGTCCTTTAATTGGCTTTGATGTCTGTTCTCATATGCATAACAGACAACAAGAATCATAGAAATCAATGCATGAACGCCCTCAATGCATACAACATTTGAGAAACTTAAATCCACCTAGCTTACCAACATCATTTCCAGAGCCTTTGAGAGACCAACAAGACGTGGAAGCCGTTGTGTTCCTGAGTAGTTTAGATTCTTTAGATCAATAGAACACCCCAACCATTCCAGGATTTGTTGTACATCTTGTCGTGTTCATGTTTTAAATTACATGGATAATCTAAAAAAACACCGAAAGTGTTTTATTATTCTTCTCGATCCAAATGCCCCTCTAAGTTGCAAAGAAACTAGTCTGCTACAAAACTCGGTCCTTCTCTCGTAGGAGAGGATTTAGAAGTACCTCCTCCAACCGAGCCTGGCCATCTCTATTCCAAGTTGAACAAACTCTGAAATACCTCATCCAACAACTTCAAAGGTATTTTTGTGCCCATTTTTTGTACATATGAATTAACATATTTACTTGAACGAAAACAATCATTTGTATATTCTCATCAGACAAAACAATTAACAAGATGCATAACATTTTAAGAACCAATTGACTTGTAAAGCTAAAACTGGCTAAAACTGTACCTCCAAAACCAGGAATTAATCCAAGCTGAAGTTCGGGCAACCCTAATTGAGCGGTAGGAGTCGATATTCGAGCATGGCAGGCCTGAGAATTCAAGGCAAAGAAGTGATTGTTACAACATTCATCCTGATAAAAAAAACCAATTTATATGAAATACCTAAACACATACCATTGCAACCTCTAACCCTCCACCTAAGGCAAGTCCATCTATCGCTGCAACGGCAGGCTTTCGGGCAGCTGACAGATGAGATTAAGGGATTAACACCCAATAGACCAGCACGGAAGCAAACCGCTCACAAACAAACTATGGGAATAACTCATTACCTTCAAAAATATCAGTGACCATTTCAATAGATATGTTGCTAACATTTGGTTGCTTCCCTGAGAACAAAACATGTATTTACTTCATTTAGTCTTTTATGTATTAAATTTTGTAACAATGTTAGTTCTTGAACATTAGTATATAACAATTTAGTCCTCGTGCTTTAGTGTAAATTTAGTTTCTATCATGAAAAATATCGTCGAGATTTATAGAGTTTCTTAAATTTATGCTATAGAATAAAAATCGACGACCTACCCTTTCCTTCTTGGAGCACACCAAAGGAAGCTATATCAAAGCCACCAGAAAACTTCCCGTTGGCACCTACACCCAAATAACATAAAAACAATCCCTCAAAATCCACAGAACTTACAAATTCAAAAACAAAATTCACTTCACAGATCACTCACCTGTCACAACAATTGCCTTCACATCATCTCTTCTCAAGGCTTCTTCATACCTATCTCTTAAGCTGAATAACACTGTATTTGTGTGTAGATGTCAATAACAAAGACCAAAAATAGATGCACAATCAAGAATTTCAGTTTCTCTGCCTCTGTACTCAAAATTCTGAGAAAAACGAGACGTAAAGAGTAATTCAAAATGATTTCGTCTCCGATACCCGAAAAGAAACATAGAGCCTAACAAGGGATCAAATATCATGTAACAACCTCAGCCCACTACTAACGGATATTGTCCGCTTTGTCCTGTTACGTATTGTCGTTAGCCTCACGGTTTTAAAACGCACCCTTATAAAGAATGTTTTGTTACCTCTCCGATCAAGGTGGGATCTCATAATCCCCCTGCCAGCGTTTTCACTGACACACTACCCAGTGTCTGGCTCTGATAGTCTATGTAACCGCCCAAGCCCAAACCTAATACTAATAGATATGACCTGTTTTGGCCTGTTATGTATGGCCGTTAACCTCACGGTTTTAAAACGAGTTTGCTAGGGAGAGGTTTTCACACTCTTAGAAGGAAGGTTTTCCTCCCCTCCCCTCTCCAACCAACGTGTGATCTCACGCGTCGTTTGCTACGAAAGTCACCCCTTCTCTAAACAAAAGTAGATGGAAAAGGAACTACTCAATTTCATAATCACCTTCGATAGAGAATTCATAATCATTAAAATCACCCCCAAACATCCCTTTAAACCATAACAAAAATAGAGAATTCATGGAAGTTCAGTAGAAAAAACTGTACCATCGAAAGACAGGGAGTTTACAGGAGGGTTGATAATGGTGATGATAGCAACTCCATCAGCTCCCACCTCCACTGCTGTTCTTCCTTTTACATTGCTTCCCATTTTGCCTCTTTTCTTTCACTTCCTTTTCGTCCTCTTAAGATAAAACAGTGAGAGAATAACCTTTTCGCAGGAGAAAATGAAGAGTAATGGAAGAGGAGGTTCATAGACGTGTCTCTATTTCAAGTATGAGAGTGTCATTCCTACAAGCATGGCCCTCACAATTATTTTTGGCACGGTTTTCAATAACAGATATGTATAATTCAAACTTATCATTACGTCATAGTTCAATTGATTGTATATGTGCTTGGCTATCGACTTAAATATTCCACTTCTCTTATTTTATTTTATGTGTCATTAACCTCGATCTTCAATTACTCTATAAGAGAAAATTCTCGTTCATCGAACTCAAAAGATATATACTCGACGCAGAGGTCAAATATTCTAATTCTTTTATTTAACGTGTCATTGAGCTAAAAAAAGATGTTCCACCATTACATATTTCGGTTTTCTTATTTCATGTGTCATTGAGCTCAAAAAATACATGTTCAACCAAACAAATTTCCTTGTTCTTCATGTTGTGCTCAAAAAATACACGTTCGACAACTAAGAAGTCGGATATTCCAATTCTCTAATTCTACGTGTCATTGAACTCAAAAAAGATATGTTTGACCAAGAAGTCAGATGTTACAATTCTCTTATTCCACGTGTTGTTGAACTCAAAAAGTAAATGATCGACCAAGAAGTCAGATATTGTAATCTTTTACCGAGTAAAAAGATTTTATGACAAAAAATACTTAATTGTGCTTTTATTGAAAGTGTTCGTAAAATTACTTACTCCATTACAATTAGCTCTAGGAGAAATATGTTTCAGAAGTGGTTATAAAATAAGTGTGCACTTATTAAACACAATTATTAAAATGGTATATCGGTATATAAATGGAAAGCCTACGTTGAAACTGATTTATTTCAATAGTCAAATTTGTTAGACGAACACGACTCTCCACATATTGTCCACTTTGAGCACAAGCTCTCATGGCTTTGCTTTGGGCTTCCCAAAAGGCCTCATACCAATGAAAAGTGTATTCTTAGATTATAAACCCATGACCATTCCCTAAATTAACCGATGTGTGACTTTCATCATCCAACAAAATTAACACCAATTTTAATATTATATTCTGATAAATTAATACCAATCGATAGTGATAACAACAATAATAATTATTATTATTATATTTTCAACAAAAAAATTTATTATTATTATAATTCAGAATGATGGAATGAATTATAGTTAATTACGTCCACTTTTATTCTTATCAGCAAGTGTAACAAATTTACGAACATTTTTCCAAAGGATTTATTTATTACGAAAATAAATCCTCGAAGTGATAAATGGATAGCGATGTACTTCGGCAAAGAATATGCCCAAATGTTATGGGTCAACGTGTCCCACACGATCAAATTTGGGCCGCCCGATCCACAAAAATTGGGCTTTTAATTGGGCCAAATTCCTCTTCAGCCCATGTCATGATGGGCTCAGCCCACGCTGGGCTAATGAAGGAAATCTTCTTAGTTTTCTTCCCAAACAAAAACATCCAATTTCAAGAACTTTAATATAAATGAGAATTCCTTGTATTTTTAATAATACAACCTATAAATAAATATTTTATAAAAATAGATAAATCAAAATTTAAAAAAGAAAAAAAAAAAAAAACTGTTTGTAAATGGATCCGCCCCACCCTTACTTGCTTTAAGCTAAAGCAATGTATGATGGCTGGGGGGGTTTGGTAAATATCAGAAAGATAAAGGGCTTTTCTCGTTGGCCCCACTTCGAGATCCACCAGCCTCATTCTTTCTCATGTGGCCCCCTCGACGTAAACAACTAACTTCTTTACCCAAAAGCTTTCTTAATTATTATCATTTAATTTATAATTTGGTCCTCCAAGTTTATAAAAAGTTTTGATTTGGTCCCCTTTGGTTTTACAATTTTTTACTAGTCCTTGTTATTTGGACTTTACACCAATTTTTACCGCTCAAAATGCATAAAATAAGAGAGACGAGAATAATATTTGATTGGCTATCGGTTATATAATGCATCAAATTATAATGGTTGATTTAACTAATTTTCAAATAAGAGTGATTCAATATGAGCTAACAAGCAATATTCTGACTTTCTGCTAGATTGTGCCATGCGTTGCTACTTAGATGACAAATCAATCGAGTTACCTGTGTTTAGACTTCTCAAATTAAGTTATAGGAGCTTGTTTTAGTCTATACAATGTACGATTTAGTTTACAATTATGTCGTGGTTTGTCTTGATTCACATAGTCATCGGGTTCATACATATAAATTCATTCTTTTAATTAGTCATTAAAAAATGCATTATTAACCTCTAATTGTGTGACTTATAAGTAAACGAGAGGTATATGAATAAATAGAAAATATTTTATGGAACCAGAGTGATTCTAAAAATATGATAATTGAAAGGGATTAAAAATAATTAAAATTAATATTGTTGTAAAAAAAAAATATATTTGTCAACAAATAATTCTAATTAAAAAAATGCTAAATAAATTGATTCTGTTTTATTTATTTATTTTTAATTTGGCCTAGGGAAACCCTAAAATTTTAAGTCCAGGCAAGCAAATAGGAGCGTTAAGCGTATCTTTTATTTGAAATTTTAAATATTTAAAAGCGTTTACCAATAAAAGCTTTTATAATTATTTTATTTTAATTTCGTTTGATTTGGAGTGTTGGTGCCCATCATGTCCATCGAAGTTTCATTTTCCACTTTTACCCCTACATCATGCTCATATTACGTTTCGACCATTTAAAATGCAACAACCGCTCCAGGCTAATATTACGTTATTACGTGCGTGTCCGTGCATCCTATTGGGCCTGTCTGAGTCCAAAAAAGGCCCATTTTCTATTGGGCCCTGTTTCAAGTCACGTGTGTCACGTGCATATTTCTCCCTCTGTAATTAATTTTCTATTGGGTCTGTGTCCATGCTAATATTAGTCATATTATTTACCAAAATGGAAGGAAAGGAGGAAAAGAAGACGAGGAGACAACTTCATTCTTATGCAAGGGTATTTCCGTCACTCGGCAAAGTTCAAACTTCTGCCCGGGTCCGTCCGGGCAGTCCGTTCCCTCGTCCGCCGTCCCGTTCCTTCGTTGACGGCGATCAGACGTGTTGAAATTAGTGAATATTTTGAGGGCCATTTACGTCATTTAACGTAAAACTTAAACTAGCGGTTTAATACATTTGAATATAATGAGGTAATTATATAATGACATTTTTCGCCTTTTTCACCAATTTTAAAATTTCTTAATATTACAACGAAAGGAAAGGCCTACTCTGTGTCTGTGGCGTTGGAGTGATTACAATTTTCGCCAACTCATTTCATCACGAAGATTAAGAGAGAGAGAAAAGAAAAAAAAGGTTAGGCGAATTTGTATATTTTCTCCTCTTTCTTCTCGATGAGATTAGGGTTTTGAATCATTTGTTTAATCCAGATCTGATCTCTGATTCCGATCTTTAGATTTTTCGTTCTACATATCTCGACCTTCAAAACCTATTCATTTCTTGGTCAAATTTGGTACGTTTGAATGTTGGAAATGATCTGGAAATTTTTATGAACTTTTTTTGTTTGTTTGTTTTTTTTTTTTTTGTGTAACTTTGTTGTGGAGTTGAATCTGGTGATTTTGTTACAGATTTCGAGGATTTGAATTTCGTCATTGAGTAATTCCTTTCATGTCCTGCTTCGAATTCAACTTTTCTCCTCACTGTGAGTATTTTTATTTTTATTTTTATTTTTTTTGGTTTTTATTCTTTTTTATCGTCACCTACTTTCTATTTGATTAACTTGGGGATCGGATGGTGGTTGTTTGCTTGCTTGCTTCTCGTACTTGATTGAATTAGTTATTGTATTTTCTTGGATGAAGCGTTGTTAAACAGATCTTGAAAATTGGCTCCGCAAAGACGTTCGCAGCGCCACATGGGCGGCCAGATGCAGCAGAACAATGCTGCGGCGGCGACTGCCCTTTACGACCACGGCGGCGGTGGGACCCTGCATAATGCAGGCCCCACTAACGACGCTGGTGATGCGGTCATGGCTCGGTGGCTCCAGTCCGCTGGCTTGCAGCATCTGGCTTCTCCGTTGGCTGATCAGCGCTCCCTCCTAATGCAGGTACGACGATTCATATTTTCGAGGGTTTCCATGTGTTTTTAGGTACTGCAAAATACATATGTTGCAAGAGTAATGAATCGGCATCGAGTATGAATAGGAGACCCTTTCTTTTTCTTGAACATGGAATCTTCTAGTTTGTGGGTCAGATGTGCAATTACTAACTGAGAAATGGCTCTATTGAATTTGGTTACCATGTCTCCACGTGATCTTTACTGAAGGGAAGCTCAGTTTGATTTGGGGGATAGTTCTTCTGCATTGTCATTTTTTTTCTTCTGTTGTTCAGTTGATGTTATACCTCGCTATTTTAGTTGTTTTTTTATACCATAGAAATCGAATTTCCTCTTCCCTTCCATTGGCTTAGAGTTATGGAGCACAATCTGCCGAAGAGAAACAGAGGCTTTTAAAACTGATGAGAAACCTGAATTTTGGTGGGGAGTCTGGATCTGAACCGCATACACCTACTGCCCAAGCTTCAGGAGCACTTGGTGCAATGGATGGCTATTATTCTCCCGACTTTAGGGGAGATTTTGGTGCTGGACTTCTGGATCTCCATGCTATGGATGATACCGAGCTTTTGTCCGAGGTATGTTGATTAATTAAGGTTTTTTTCTTTCCATGCACGAGAGATATTTACTTAAGTATGATTATATATGTAATAGGAGTAGCAATTCCTGGAGGCCGATCTTAGTGGTTTCCTATTAACCATTGGGACACAATAATTTTAGTTGTTGTGGGAGTGTTAATTTGCAAACACTTTTGGGGTTGTTGGGGGAGCTCATTCGGTGTTAGTAGGGCACTCCAATGGTCAGTCTTTGTTGGAGGAGGTGTTGTTGAACCTTCCCTGTAGGGCAAGAGGCAATTTGTTGTGGTAGGCTTGCTTGTTTGCTATGTTGTAGGGTTTTTAGATTGAGAGGAATAATGGGTTTTTAAAAGGAGATTGAGAAATCGAGTGAGGAGGTTTGAGTAGTTGTTAGGTTTAATGCTGTGGAGAAGTCAAGTGAGGGGGGTGGGGATAGGGAGATTAAAAAAAAAAGCCTCTATGCCAACTAAACAAATATTCATCTTTCTTTTCGTTTGAAGAATCACATTTTAATTTTATGTTTTGAAGTAGTTCGATATCTGTTGACTTTTATCTGCCGGTCCATTACTCCATTGCATGATAAGTCAACATAGTCTTTCTTTCCTCTCTTTCTCTCTTTTTATTTATTTATATATTTGTTTTTGTTTTATAATTTTGTAGATTTCCTTTTTTTTAATTGACTTTTTTTTTTCTTTTTCACCAGCACATTATCCCAGAGTCATTTGACCCTTCGCCATTCATTCCTAGTGGTACTAGAGAATTTGACGATGGGTTTAATGTAGCTAGCAGCAGGCAGCAAAGAAGCCAAGCTGATGAAGATGCCCTGGCTACATTACCTGTGATTGAAAAGGAGAATGTTGTCAGAGAAAATAACGTGGCTAAAATCAAAGTTGTGGTAAGCTTCTTATAGTGGCATCAGAATACTATGTGTAGAATACTAATTAGAAATCTTTTCCATTTGGATGTTATCATTATTCCAGAGACTAAATTGTAGTGGAGTCATGGTGGTTTGATTACAGCCTTTATAAGTTTGTACTGGAAGATCTTCATTTTCTTTGTCCTTATCCGAGAGGTAGTTCAATTAACAAGTGATGGGTATTTTTGGGGTGTTGCAATTACTAAAGTTAACTCATATATTGTGCATGCCTTCTTAGAACTATAATTTTTATCTAAATTTATGACATTCTACACGTTTTTATTTTCTTTTCAATTTTGTTTGAAATTAAAAAAGAAACCCACTGAAATCATTTTTTCTTTACCCAGTAATTTTCTTCTCTTTTTTAGTCTATGGCATCATCTAATTGAGCATATTTACGGGTCAAAGGCTTAAGGCTTTTGAGGTTCAAATTTTTGGTTCAAGGCTTACGCCTTTAGATCAAAAGAACAGACTAAGGCTTGGAGTCTTCAGACCTCGTGTAATGCTTTCGAGGATATATTAATTTTCACTGCCAGTCCTGTGCTTGTCACCTTCTCTATGCCTTTAATTTTTTTTCTTTGGAAAAATAACATGTTGTCATACCAATGATGTTCCTTAATTTACCCTTGCTTCGATTGGGGTTGGAATTAAAGTTTCAGCTAGCACATATTTTCATATATTGTTATGTTTTTCCTAATACGTGTAGTGTATTGTGTCTTAGGTGCGGAAGAGACCATTAAACAAGAAGGAGCTTGCTCGTAAGGAAGACGATATTGTATCAGTATGCGACAATGCTTCTTTGACTGTCCATGAACCAAAACTAAAGGTCACTTTATTTTTATTATTCTACTTTGATGTATAATATTAGCTTAATTGTTTTGACCTGATCATAGTTTCTTTTCTCCCTGCTTTACTCTGAGATAGGTGGACTTGACTGCATATGTGGAAAAGCATGAATTCTGCTTTGATGCGGTTCTTGATGAGCATGTTACCAATGATGAGGTATCAATTATATATTCCTTTGTCCAATGTAGTTTAGAAAACATCTTGTGTCGTTAAATAGTTTTGTAGAATCTAGTTTGAACTAACGTGCATTCTTTTTGAAATAGGTTTATAGGGTTACTGTGCAACCAATTATTCCCATCATCTTTGAAAGGACAAAGGCTACATGCTTTGCTTATGGTCAGACAGGTGTGCATTAAATCTGCTCAATCTCTTGCTTGCTTGTTTTCATGAATGCATACTCGTTGAAATTTATTCCACTCATTATTATTTGTGGCAATTTGTCATTTTAACTATTACTAATGACGTTGTATCAACTCTTATTTTCTTCTCATAATATCCTTTTAGTATCATGAAGTTTGACTAAAAGCTTTTTGTATTTTAATAGGTAGTGGCAAGACGTTTACAATGCAACCATTACCTCTCAGGGCTGCTGAAGACCTTGTTAGATTGTTACGTCAGCCAGTTTATCGCAATCAGAAATTCAAGTTGTGGCTTAGCTTTTTTGAGATATATGGTGGAAAATTATTTGATCTACTCAGTGAAAGAAAGTAAATTTTCATTTCTATTCCTTCTCTTTTTTCCCTGGATTTTTTAGGAAAGAAGAGATATTCTCTATTGACACATGGACAGGAAATTTCATTCATGCATATAGAGTAAGGTTGCATATGGTGTGGCATCAACTTTTGGCCATAATTTGGTTGGATATATAATGTTTGTGTCTGAATTGATACATTTACGTACTAAAATGTAGTAAATGAAAAAAGAGATACAAAAATACTGAAAGTATTGAAGTACGAGGATTAGATTTGTATTTAGGCATTTTTAGTTTTTGATCGTTTTTCCGTCCTGGAAATAGGATTATCCAACGTGCATTTTCCCCCCTTTCTCGATTTCCAGTTCTTTAATTGTATGTTATTTTGGTTATTTCATCCATTTCTTATTTTTATGCATCCACATTCTCAAGATGACTTTATTTTCTGTAATAGGAAGCTTTGCATGAGAGAAGATGGACGGCAGCAGGTTTGTATTGTTGGGCTTCAAGAATTTGAAGTGTCTGATGTACAAATTGTCAAAGAATATATTGAGAAGGGAAATGCAGCCAGGAGTACAGGTTCCACTGGTGCCAATGAGGAGTCTTCAAGGTCACATGCTATATTGCAACTTGCTGTTAAGAAACATCCCGAAGTAAAGGAATCGAGAAGGAACAATGATGGAAATGAGTTGAAAAGTGGGAAACTTGTTGGGAAAGTCTCTTTTATTGATTTGGCTGGTAGCGAAAGAGGTGCTGATACAACTGATAATGACCGTCAGACAAGGTATACCAGATTTTTTAGATCTTTGGTCTTTTGTTTCTTGTTAATGTTCTTTTATTCACAGCTGTAAAAGATGTCACCAACCAATGAGTTTTCTGTCACTGTGCTTGATAATATCGTTTACCATCTTAGTCCACTAATAATTTTAATTGGTAGCTGTAGTATGGAGTTTTTTTTTTTTTTTGTTCTGCAGAAGATGTAACTGCTTCGAACCCGTTCGGGCGAAAATGCTGCTTGATATAGTTTTTCAGACGATCCCTTTTCCTTTTATCTTTACATAATGCTCTAATCTGTTTATTTCATTTTGCTGGAACCTTTACAGGATTGAGGGAGCAGAAATCAACAAAAGTCTTTTGGCACTGAAGGAATGCATTCGTGCCTTGGACAATGATCAGATTCATATCCCCTTCCGTGGAAGTAAACTTACAGAAGTGCTCCGTGATTCCTTTGTTGGCAACTCGAGAACTGTTATGATATCGTGCATTTCTCCAAATGCTGGTTCATGTGAACATACTCTCAACACTTTGAGATATGCTGACCGGTACGGTTTTTGACATCCTAAGCTTTACTTTATCCTTAAATTTTAGTAAATATTCAACTTTGAAATTACTATTGAATAACATCAGGGTCAAAAGTTTGTCCAAAAGCGGAAATACAAAGAAGGATCAGGCTGTAAGTTCCAGTCAACCAATAGCTAGAGATGTTACTTCAGCCCCGTCTATTCCAATTCCCATTGAAGCAGAAGATGTTAATATGCTGTGCCAAGAGGTGAAATTAGGGGGGGAATTGGGGAGAAGGGTTCCAGAGAAGGAAAGTCTCTCCTCTTCCAACTTTGACATGCCGACTTCTGCTTTGCCATTAAGCAATGCCTTTCATGCACGAGATGAAAAAAGTTTGGGCGTAACTGTAGCTTCTGCATCATTCGACAAGGAACCACTTGAAATGAGGAGCATTCATGGCGATCCAACCAGTCGTAAGGTTCCCATATACTCCCACAACTTAAATGATACAGAGGAGAAGGTGCAAAAGGTATCGCCACCTCGAAGAAAATCATCCCGAGATGAAAAATCAGAGAAGGTGGGGAGCTGGCAGAAGAAAGATAGCAGCAGCGTGCCTGATCTCTCTACTTCACGCTTGAAGCAGTATGGTGCAGGAATTTCTAACGCAAATGATGCCGGATCCAGAAAGTCTGAATCTGAACCAACTTCTGATGGCAATATTAATGCAATACTTGAGGTTAGCTAACCTTTAGTTTTTTTACCATATCAAAGAAAAATATTTCTTCCAAAAGAAAAAAGAGCTTAATTGCTGCACTATTTCTCCCTCCAGTTCAGTGATTTTTTGACATGTATGAACTCTGTTGCAGGAAGAAGAGGCGTTAATTGCTGCTCATCGAAAGGAAATTGAGGACACCATGGAGATAGTGCGCGAAGTAAGTCGAAAGTTGCAATCATTTAAGAGCATAGCCTTCTAATTTTTTCCTATAAAAGCCAAAAGGCGTTAATTGTTGTTGTTGTTGGGTTGTCAGGAAATGAAACTGTTGGCAGAAGTGGATCAACCAGGGAGCCACATTGAGAACTACGTGACTCAGTTGAGTTTTGTGCTGTCACGAAAGGCTGCAGGATTGGTGAGTCTTCAAGCACGCCTTGCAAGGTTTCAGCATAGACTTAAAGAACAAGAAATACTGAGCCGAAAAAGAGTACCGCGTTAGGGTGGAGAGGGTGGTGAGAGTTTGTTTTCCCGTCTCTCCTCCTCAGCTGTATCCTATCCTGCTTTCATCTTTTTCATATCATATATAATCATTAATCATTGATTTGTACATTTCTTCTTGAGCTTGAAAAAAGAGATTGGAATTGAATTTGCTTGCTTGCTTGCTTGCTCGCTCGCTCTCTTGTCTGACATTTTATATGGGTTCCTTCCAAGCATCATCTAACAACAGCCAGCCTTTTAACTGTAAAATATGCTCCTATGTATTATGTATAACTGTAAAATAATGTGATGAAAATACCTCTGTTTTCGTTGTGTTTGGTATCATATCATGTCCTAGTAGGTACCCCGTTCAAATTACTGATAAAAACAGGGAATGAATTGGGGTTGTTGATCCTTGGTTCTTTTTGACCTGTAATTGGATTGAACTCTCTTTAAGGTACACTGCTTTATATCCATTCCATTTTATTTCATTTCATATCTGGTTTTTAGTTTTTTTACATTTGAAAAACATTAAGTTATTTAGTTTTATGTTTTTGACAAACCAGCATCCAGACGATAAAGGCCTCGAGGAATATTAACTCAGATTTCTTTTCAAACACAATAGGAATATTTCTTATTAAAACTCAAAAAGGGCTGCTACCCTTGGCCGTCTAAGGCGACTCTCTAATCTTACAATTACAAGCATATCAATCACTGAAGCATTTAAAATATTATGGCTTTTCTCGACTTACCAAACAAAGACATTTTCAAGCAATTATATTATTATGGGGAAGGAAGGAAGGTTGAGCAGGCTACTCGGACACTTTTATGAATGATGCATCAGTTGGCTCTCAAATTCAAAATTTCCTTGGCTGTTCTACTTCGGAAATAAGGCATGTGTTCCTACAAGCAAAGGTTTTATTAATGGATGAGTCGGGTAGTGAGCAATTAGAAATGGCATGGGGAAAGAAGCTTTCAACAATGCTTTTACCTGCTTGAAACACAGATCCAAACCTCTGCTATAAAAATCAGTATACTTTATCATAAACATGCCACAATCATACCTGTTTCATTATTATTATTATTATTTTAAATTCAAATAATAGACGAGGAGAAAGGAATATAAATTCAAAAGGTGATGACAGTACACAAACCCATTGAATTGCTCAGGAAGGTCTTTGACAAATTCTTGTCCCCAAGAACTTACATCAATATCTTTTCCACTTTTGTCCTTCACCTCATCTACAAAATATCTCGCCTGCGTACAAGGATAAAAATGTGAATGCCCAAGTCACCGACTCAGAATAACACGACCAACTCCAATGCTTACAATGATCAAACTCGATCCAATGCTAGGGTGGATCAGAAGGGAAGATAAAATCAAGGAGTGTTCGACTTTAAGGCAAACCCCATCTAACTTAAACCTTAAGGTTGAGAGTTTAAAGAGTTCAACGGCAGAAAGCTTCGTTAGCATACAAATGAAGGCAATTAATTGCAAAGAGAGAATGAAGAGAAAGCATACCAATGTTTTCAAAACACGAGAATCCATTCCCTTGACAGAATCAAGATACTGAAACTTCTTCTCTTTCTTGTTGATTACGGCTAAACACCAATGTATTTCTCTGTGGATGGGCACAAATATCTACACAAAGTAGAATAGTAATTCATTTGGGTCACCCACGAATGAACTAACTAATAATACCAATACCATGCCATACTACTAAATAATATAATATTTACTTTGTCACAATCATTGAGTTCATATCTCAACTTCCTTTGGCTCGTCCATCTTCTAACAGATTTGTAATCATACCCATCTCTTCCATTTATCAACTGTTATCAAAATGAGAAGTAAAAAATACAAATCATCACAACCAAAACAAAACTGAAACATGCGTTTTTACAACTAGAATCCACACATGTAACAATCCAAGCCTACTACTACCAGATATTGTCCGCTTTAACCCGTTACGTATCGCCGTCAGCCTCACGGTTTTTAAAACCCGTTTGTTGGGAAGAGGTTTCCACATCTTTATAAGGAATGTTTCGTTCCCCTCTCCAACTGATGTGGGATCTCACAATCCACCCCCTTAGGGGCCAACGTTCTCGCTGGCACACCACCCAGTGACTACCTCTGATACCATTTGCAACAGCCCAAGCCCACCGCTAACAGATATTGTCCGCTTTGGCCTGTCACGTATCGCCGTCAACCTCATGGTTTTTAAAACACGTCTGTTAGGAAAAGGTTTCCACACCCTTAAAAGTAATGCTTCGTTTCCCTTTCCAACCAATGTGAAATCTCACACCACACATTAATATGCAAAAACAGAGAAATAAGAAGGATGTACCTAACTCAAACCAACCTTTTTATAGAAGAATGTATTGAAGAAATGACAGTTCAAATATTTCTCTGGCTCCCTTCTTTCCCTTTCTTTCAGCAACTCAAGATACAAATTAATCACCTACAGAATGAGTATATATATATACACACACAAAATTAGTAGAAAGATTTGTTTAAAGAACATAAAATTTCAGTTAAAATTATGATACCTCATCGTTTAACCAGGCACCTGGTCTCAGACAATGCAGAGCTTGCGCAGTAATCTCAATATTTGAATTCTCATGAGTCACCAGAACCTTACTCCTGAATAAATGAGCAAAAACAATATCAAGCCAAGAACAAAATGCAGTTCATGAAAGATCTTAAGTACATCATACGATACCGGTTAGCAGACAGTGCAGCTTCAACCTTGGCCTCCTCGTCCTGAGTAAGAGGAACAAAAAGTTCCTGTTGAATCTCCTGGAAACAATGAATACGGTTTCATATCGAGAAAGATTCAAATTCGTATCCAAAAACTTCAGAAACAAGTTCTAATGATTAACAAACGAAACCTAAATTAATATAACGAACACTCGAAGAAATGAAACATACAGGCATCTTCTTTGGAGTTTGAGATTGAAGAATTGATCGACGCTTCTCGTTCAACTCGATTTCGAAATCCAAGGTTTTCAATCTAGATGTCCGCTTTTCCACACCTTGGAGCAACTTTTTGTAAGCAGATACACTGGAAATTTCTCGGTCTAGAGACAAATCACCAAGCATTTTCTCAGCGTTTTCTTCAACCTTCGAACCTTCATCCGCCAGATCTATAACCACGGAAGACGACGATGGCTGATGAGCTTCCATCTTCTTCGCTACCAATTCCTGTACTGTAACATCCTCTATTACCTCAACTTCCTCATCGTCCTTCGAATCTCCAGAAGCGTCTCTTTCAGTTTGCGTGTCTGAATCCAATTCAAAGGCATCCTTCGGAAACGATCGCAATGCACCAATTGCATTACGCTTCGCAATCTGGTAATTGTACGACAAAATATTCCCTACATCGTCCTGTTCCGACGGCTCGCTGTTTTTCGATTCCCAAAACCTAAAGAAGCTCCTAGTGAGCCCAAATTTAAGGCCTCTGCAAGGGCCATGAACTTCTCGACGCAGTTGCGGAGTTTCTTCAGGATACCGAGAAAGCCTAGCCACTGTCGAGTTGGACGAAACAACAGGCCGATCCGAAGACATAGTAGAAAATTTAAGCTTCTTCGACACGTGAAAATCCGGTGATTTCAAAGATGAATACGAACGTTTGATGCTCGAATATTCGTCATCGCGCTTACGGTTGCTAGTTCGGGCGCCCATTAGTAGAAGCAGAAATGGAAACGAAACCCCTACGACATTGCATCGCATCAAACGAAAACTATTTCGAGTAGAGTTCAGAAAATTAAGGGTTTTGAAGCCAGCAAAACCCTAGCCGCAAGGATTATCGGAAACAAACCGAGACGATTCTATGGCGCCAAAATGAAGTTCAAACTTGGAAAATTTCACGAGGATTTGAAGAATACAAGAACTGAGGAATCGGAAGCAGCAGAGAAGAGAGTGAAGTCAAAATTCAAATGTGAAAGGGGAAAATGAAAGGGAAGTTGGGGGAATTGAGTGAGATGATGAATGGAAATCCGAAACTGACGTTCGCAGGAACAGATTTTGGGTATTGGATTCGGAGAAGAAGAGAGTGACGTTTGGATCTGCAGAACAGAGAATCGAAATGGAAAGAAAATTCTAAGGATGATATCGTGGTTTTTGTGTGTTGTTTTTTGTTAATCTTTGTTTCGAAGAAAGCTTGACGACCACCTACAACTGCCCCTTTCGATTAATCCCCGTTTTTTCTTCCCCTTTCTAGTTCACAAACTAAAAGTTTCAAATTTGTTCGTTCTCATACATTTTTTGCAGTTGCCCTCGTTAAAAAAAAAAAATAATAATAATAATATATATATATATTATTTTCTTTTCAAAAATGATTCAGAATTCGTGCGAACATTATCTTGCACCATTTTTTACTTCACCTAACCAAAGTATAGAAATATTTTGTATAATTGAGCTAAATAGATATGTGAAAGAAGAAGGCTAAAACTCATCTAAAATATCAAAATTGCAAAATAAGTCGAATTTTGATTCAGAAAACCAACCTAAACTTCCTAGAATGAATTCCAAGCCTAATACAAATGGGGCAAACAACCAGTAGAGACTCGAAGTAAATTTTTGCAGCATACAAGAAAATGATTATTGTATAACACGTATTAATCATAATTCAATTGTACAGAATAATCTCACTGTGGAAGCATAATCAATGGTAGCCTCACTACCTGAGGGAAGTTAGACGTGTGCACAACGAGGACTTCTGCCGAGTTATTGTCATCAAATGCAGAGGAAACTAACGTCACAATATCGACCGACCCTGAGTGTTAAAGCTGCAGAAGATGTCCCGAACGCTTGTAAATGTTATATCAATGAATTCAGCAGAGCCCCCGAATTTGGTGATGCATGTAGCATCAGATCAGCGTCTTCTAAATCCTTGGGTTGATTCGGTAAGTCCTGTTTGAAAGCAAGTACATTTTGAGCAACAATGAAATTCTTCATGCCTGTAAAACTTTGGAATGCAAAGGTAGACACCTTTACGGGACGAGAAAAAAAATATGAAGCGTCTAAATATAAAGAAAAAAAGGAAATATCCATTATATCAAAATCGACGAACTGAATTGTTGATCTGGTACGAGATCGAAACACACTAAAACCTGGTAACATCCTCGGCATAATTAAGATTATAAATTCGAGAAAATGGCATGAAAAAATAAGTAATCAAATACCTGTGTCGGAATTAGCTGATGTTGTTGCTGATCTTGGACCACAGGGTTGGCTTGTGGTTGCGACATTCTATAGTAGGGCTCTTTCAAGTCAAGTTTGCACGAGGACGACTGAAGTATTCCTCCTTGCTCGGCACCAGGACCCCACATTTTGGCTATATAGCAATCTTAGTCGGTAAGCTCACAAGACAGAACATGGAACAGAAAATACGTAAACGAAGAAGTCAACCTGATAGAGTCAAATGAATCGTGTAACTCTGAGCACTGTGAGCGACCATGTGAAGTCTGCCAGTAATTTCCTGTCCCGCCATGACATAAAGCGGTTGAGAGAGGATGCAACGTAATTGGTACCAATGGGTCGTCGGAGCACCAGGGGCAGTGGTAAGCCACCTCTGCACAGTACTGTTGATAAAAGTGATTCATGAGCAGCCAAGTAGAAGGAAACTTATAGCATTCAAACTTGTTCTAGAGGAAAATAACCCCAATATTTACCTGCCATTAAATAATACATCAAACCAGCAGGCCAGTCCATGCACTCTGGCACCCACAGTAGCAACGAATTTTAAAGGAATATCAATGTCATATAGTTCCTCTTCCTGAAATTAAGAGTGATTCTTCAGTCAGAACTCGCATAAAGACGATCGGAAAAGAAAATCAAAAGTAAACTTGAAGGCCATAATACTACCTTAATATTTGTAAAGTCCAAAACATGAGATATTGAAGGGGCCACCAATAATCTTGAATCAAAAGCATCCACCACCGGCTGCATGATATATAAAACAGAATAGAACTAAGGATATTGTTGTATATCATGGTGAACAAATCCTTATAAAGCCATCATTTACAAATGGATTTTACTTCGTCATTATTCTGAAAATTCTAGAGTAACGAACAAGATCCAGATTCCAATTCTAAATATATATATATATAGATTTGAACTCCAATCTAAAGTTACAAATGATTCTTGATTTCATTTTCAGATATATAAATGATTCTCAATTTCATTTTCAAAAATATGAAAGTGACGCACACCTGAGAAAAATAGCCTTGAAATGCTGACCCGTACAAGGCTGTCAAATCAACACCATAATAGTTTTGTTGCTGCCAAAAGAGAGCCTACATAAAAGAGTAACATATTAAGTTTATTCTATTTATTGTTATTTTGGACGGAAAATAGACAGTGGGAGAGACAAAAGGATATGTTTTAGCTATCATCATTCGTATGCACTGAATTGTTCAATAAGTCATGTGCTTCCTCATTCACAGCACACTGTATGGAATATAAAGCCAAAACGTGTGAAAGCTATAACTCATATTTATTTCTGCCAATTGTGTTTAGAAACTGATTCTTCAGATAATACATTGAAACTTGATTCATTTTTGTTTACAAAAATGTCCTTAAAATGAATGGTAACATGGCATGAAAAATTTTGCTTGATTGATATGGTTAGGGAAGATATAGATATCAAATAGTAACGACCAAGAGTAAATTTCGACTTCTTATATTATTCTTTCAACTCTTCACATCCATCTTCATAAACATTCATGATTCAAGTTGTTAGGTTCAATATCAATGTAACATTTTTTAAATAAGCTATAAATAACAGTGTAATATTTCCTCTCATTTTTCTAGAAGATAGAAACAGGGCATTTTCTGAAAAATGTGATGAATTTGAGAGAATTATCGAATCAATACTTTCAGGACCGAAGTGAAAACAAGTTTATATTTCAGAGGCAGAAACTGTAATTTAGCACTGAGAAAATTGATTAAAAGTCTTACCTTATTAGCTACTTCAACAAATAGATATTCATCGCTGAAAGGTGCCATGTGAATCCTACATGGAGAACATCTTAACTCATAAGAACACAATATTATTTACAAATGATTCACTAGCAATTCAAATTAAAGAAATTAAGAACATGAAGATGAAATTCAATAAACCATGATAATAAAATGAACTACAAGTGGAACGTCGAGTATTGGTATCAAAACGTCATATACAAAATTAAAACTATCTTCTTGAAAATGCAGATGAGAAATTTGAAATACTATCTTTACACCCCAAACACGAAAGACAAGAAAGGCGCCTGACAAAAAAAATTTCACTATCTATTTACCTCCCTATAGTTGGGAACATCTTTCCATTTTGGTGCAAAAAACGATCCCGGGCGATCACATAAGATTCCAGCATTCTTTCATTGACCAATAGAGTGCCTAACAGCAAAGAAGGAAAATGAGGAATGGGGCTGAATTGCACTTGTTTTTGAGATCTAGGGAAACAGAAAGTCATTATTAACTTTCAATTTCTTTTCATTTGGGTGTTATACCTTTTAAATATTCAATTACAGCTCATCCAGGAGTGTTTACATATAAAATGGTGTATATAGCTAAAAGTTTTAGGATCGTCCAAAATTGCACAATCTTCCAGGATAATCTGAAAATGTACTACAATTTGACAATGACTCTCACCCATTGGCTCTGAGATTAAAATGTCTGCTTTCTCGGGCAATTCAACATCCTCAACTTTGCCTTTAATCACCTGAATTACAAATTACATTGCATTACCATAAACGTAAATATAGACGTAACGATACTTCCAAGGAGTTAAAATAATATGATTTTTTTAAAAAAATTACAGTGATTCGTTGACTCAAGGCAGGGTTCCCAGCAATTAATACACGAGCATACTCAGCCATTTCAGATGCTTCCACAGCATAAACATGTTTTGCACCAGCCTGTTGAAGAATGAAAGCATAAGATCTCAAATTCAGTTACAGAACAATTGAAGTGAATACATAAAGGGGTAATAACTAATTAAAGAAATATACACCAGATGTAGCCAAGAGTACCTGAGCAGCAAATAAAGACAAAATACCACTACCAGCACCGACATCAACAACCACACGACCTGTGAAGTCAGCACGATTTTCCATCACAGCTGCGTAATATGTTCCTGAAACAACACAAAACCACCAAAATTACGTACTATGTAACTCAGTTAAGATATTTAAACATTACTACATGTGCAGGTAACACATACACCAGTGTTCAGCAATACAAACATAATAAGATGCTTGAATTGGCAATTCAGAAATAAATCTATAAAATAAATTTGCAAGACAAGGCAACAGATAAATTATATAACCTGTCCTCACATAATCCTGCAACATATTTTGTTGATGTAAAAGTTGCCCATAGTAGTGGAAGTACATCTTAGCGGAAGATGATTCTATTTTATCATCAAACTTGCTTTTCAAGGAAGAAATGGTGCCATTTGGTAAATGGGTGCCTGGATGTAGAAAAAGGATAACTTGAGAAAACCATAAACAATAAAAACGTCAACAAGTTTTTACATCAAGAGCAGCAACATTTTGGGAGAACTAAAGATTGCTACCTTGGACAATATCATCCTCCTTCCTCTTATCAAAAGCAGAATGAAATGCACTGCTCTCTTCCTCGTTCCTAAATTGAATGGTAACTCCTCTGGAATGTGATTTCTGTTTTAACAGTGAAACTATTCAACATCACAAGTAACGACCATTCGTTCTTCTACTAAGTTAATTTGTAGAGATAGTAAATCACCATCGCAATGTGCAAACTTGTAGTTCAAGCAGCGTATAAAATATAGTAGAATTGATCAAAAATGGCACCAGACAATTGGTTTTTTTAACTTAAGAACATGAGAACATCTTGAGTCACAGCCTCGCAGATACAGTTTGACATTATTAGCAAAAAAATACCATTCTTACCTCTTTAGTGACATCGTCTTTGGATATGCACACTGACTGAACAGAGCCTAACCGAAATATCTGAAGACATAAAATACATGTCAATTAATCATATAATATTCTCCAAATAACTCGCTTGCTATTAAGTCACTGCTGATCTCAAAAACTCATGCCAACAAGTTCCTGATATACTAAATTATATATTTATATATTCTTAACACTCCTCTCAATGAAGTAGAATGTTAATTTCGAATCCAACACGAAAAAAATTGATCAATTCGGAAAATATGACAGTGCAAGAGTTGAAAAAACTTCCCCGTAATTTGATACCATAGTAAATCATCATTGAACTTAACTTCTAGATGCTTAGATTGTGGTATATATAATTTTTTTAAGCACAGTTTAAAACACTCCATGATCATAAGAATGGTAAATGTAGGTTGATAATCTCCCTCGTGAAGCAAACCAAGAGTTCTTACGATGCACTCACTGTTTCTAGTCAATAAATAGTGCAAAATGGTAAAAAAAAAAAAAAAAAAAAAAAAAAAAAAAAAAAAAAAAAAAAAAAAAAAA